AAATGTCGCTGTTTTCTTGCTATATATGCCAGACAGGTTTTCTCGGCGGCAAATAGCCGATTGTTGTTGAACATAAATGTTTTCATGGCATATAATATTCTTGATACGATGTCCTACCGGCGAGAACACACACAAAAAAATATTACTTAGCCATATATACTGTATACAGTACTTTTTCAGTACCACGTTGCAAACCGTAAACTTCCGCGTATCATGCGATTCTTATCGCGTATTTCCCAGGAGCCAATAATTATCCTAAATCGAGTTAGTTTTTTTTTACGAAGTACCGGAGTATAAAATTTTCTCGTTGATACGAGTTAGTATCCTCTTTGTTGTGCGCATTAATGGAACCGAAGGTATTTCAAGTGTGGACTTTTCCCGCGTGCTAGTTGTTGAACCTTGGACACAAAAAATACTCGGATAATGTATCGCACTTCTAATTCAAAAAGAAAAATTATTCTAATCTACGTGTTGAGTTATGTTACGTACGGTGAGCATGTTTGACACACTGTTGAAAAATTCTGATGGGAGCAAATAAATTTCAATCATCTAAGAGTGAAACTTAATCGTCACTTAACCTAGTCACGAAGATATTCTTCCAATTCCCATGACGCAATCGTGAGCGCCATTGGAGGATTATTCTTGCATAGAAGGACATTTAATTGCTGCAAGTTGAACATTTTTGAGCGGCAAGAGCTTCATTCCTGGGGCATTTTATTTCCTGGACTTTGAGAATGCCGTTCGCTATTTCCGGGTAGATTTTTACCACATAGTCCCGAATTCAGGTAGGAATGGATTACCGTCTACAGTGGGAGAATGTTTTCTAATGAATACATTGCTCCCGTAAATAAAACTCACTACCGTATACTTCTGATCTAAAGGATGATCACTCCATCCATGTGACAAATGACATTGACGCTTCGGGGATTCTCAAAATCCACCTAATCCATAGATGCTTCCGAAATTCTGTACCTCTAATGCACTGAGATCGGATCTCGAAGGCATTATACTGTACTTCAGCGAATAGGCGGCTTGAAATAAGTTTCCCAATGCTATGGATCCATGGACGGCCGCTGGAGATTCAGACGTACCCTTCATTTAACAAAGCCTCCCATTTTGTTTATGTTTATTTCTAAGCAGGTATAATATGTGAGCCCATCGGTCCAAAGATTATCTAGAAACAGTGTAAGCAATAATGCGGTATTTGCCGCCCTGCAATATTCAGCGAAATGACCTGCACGCACAAATAAAAGCAATAGAACGACTGGACACTTGCGGGGTTTCTAGCTTTCCTAGAACTAAGGATCAAAAATGATTGTTTTGCTTGATAATCAGGACTTCGTTTCATTCTAATGCGCGTCGGAAACCCTTTTCTACCCCGTTCGACTGTTCGATGAATAATAGTCAACATTTATCTTGCATCCCAGGAAATACTCTTCTGGATCCCATGCATTATTAATTCCTGCATTTACCAAGAGGATGATGACAAAGTGGTGGAATGCTTCTCTACAGCAGGTTCTCAAAATAAAAGCAACCAATAAGTAAGAAGGAATTTCAATGAAAATTTTGAAATAAAATGCGAAAATCAGGCAGCGAAAATTCCCAAGTGCTAGAAAGAGCTGATTATAGAGCTTGCTCAAATTTTAAATCATGGAATGGACCCCATTCATGATTGCTTCCGTATTCTGTTGAAGCCTCGCTTACAGTATACCCCATGGTTAAAAAAAATCAAAGCTTGACATGGTCAAATCTGTGACTTTCAAAATAACTTCCAAAGATAAAATTTTTTTAAAGAAGAGAAGGGTCTCTAGAACCAAGAAATACGTAGAAGTTCAAAATTTATGGACAGTTAATCACACATCATTATTCTTGAATGCCAAGCACGAATACGAGAGGTTCTCAAACTCAATCTTTGAGCTATATTCCGAAATTCAGTATGACGTTATCATAATGAAAAAACCTAAATCACTCCTAGAACTAAAATTGAGATCATCATTAACGTGAAATTTCGAATCAAATATTGCTGCAACGTCCAAGATGGAGTATACCGCCCTAACTACAAAAATTCCTCAGTTTTACCCTTCAGCTGGTGTATTATGCTTCACGTGCAACATAATGAAAACACGGAAATTTTCACATCTGGCGCGATTCATCTCCAATAAGATGATCATGTTGAATGCAAATTGACCTTTTTGCGTAAGGCGGAATGCTCATACTGTACATGAAAAGACTTTTAAATAAAGTAAAAATGAACTTGATTATATAATTCATTAAGCTAAATTAACTACACGTTTCCCGCCAGTGAGATGTTTCACAAACATGTCCACCATGGAACTGTAACGGCCAAATCCTGGATTAGTCTAGGGAGACTTGTCACGTGATCATTTGATGAGAACATTTAAACTAGGGTCTCTTTTCTAATATTTATACAGTATATGAACAGTACCAAAACTGTAACAGTTTGAACTGACATACATGTTGCTAGCAGAAAAACGTCATTCTCGCATCTTGAGTCAAAAAAGAACAGACGAAAAGGAAAAAAATACTGCTTGCGGCGTATACATGCTGCTGTAATGGATGTAGATTTCATTTGTAAATAACCCAGGGATCGAAAACGTTGTGCATTGAAAAGTAACCCACTGACAGAATTTAAAATTCAAATAATATTAGGGCTGACGAAATGCTTTTCAGCCTTTTGAACAAGTTCCTGTCAGCAGGACCTTTTTGTGAGCATGCCGAGCAAATACAGTAAATATCGGCAAGCAGTGACATCTAGTGCTTTCGAAGCGAAACGATCGACCGGTTTCAGCTGCATGTGCGGAACAGCTCATCTGATCTGTTGCGCAACAAAACATCGGATGTTTTCACCATAGCTGAATTAACTTTTTACCGAAATAAATTTTCATTGCATACTTTCGACTCTTTTCAAGTATACTGTAATCCATTTTATGCCTTTAATCGCCGACCAGAAGTCTAATGTGCCTTTGCAGCAGGCCCTCAAAACAGCTATATTCCAAGCGGTTTTCGGCTGATCATCACGTCCTCGTGACCTGGACTTGAGAAGACCATCGTGCAGCACAGATTGCGCAGAAAAAAGTCTCCATGAATATCCTTGCCTTGGTCGAACCATGGTTCAACCAAAAACACGGTCATTTCCTCAATTAGCTGGGTTCATGGGGCTAAAAATTGACCCTTGGAAAAATTCAAAAATCACAAAAATCTCAAAAATCAAAGAAGAGCAGTATTTGTGCCTAAGTAAAGAGGCTGTTTTTTTGCACAGAAAAATAGTGGAACAGTTTAGAAGCCAAGAAAAGGGTGCAGAATAAATTGGAAAGTTAGCTCGAGGATATTTCTCCATCATATGTTGTATGTTAAGTATTGGACCTGGACATGTCATTAAAGCTATTTTTTGAAGCCCAGATGAATTTAAAAACAGGTACATGTTGAAACGTGGGTTTTCCAATCACTAGATTTCATAACTTCCTTTGTTGTTGTATACAACAATCCCTTTGATGAAACGGGGTTGGTTTGCATGACCTTCTTATGCAATTTCCGGAAGCCCCTAGTCGGCTTCGGGCCAGTGGAAGACAAGTAATCATCAGTTTCTCTGGGAGAATTATGAAGAAGGGGTTGACCCTCTTCTTCTGGTGGTACTCACTATTATATAGTATGCAATAAAGACTAAAATCTAGAAACAGCCGATGTGAAAAAGTCCAAGTTCCTCTCATGAACCCTTAACAGTTCTTCGAGTGGGTTAACGGCAATGCCAAATCGTAACTCAAGCACAACAGGAATCACGAACTTGATTTATGTCCCAAAACCGAAAATAGTTTGTCCAGGGTATCTCCTCGTATCATGTTTTACCTATCACTCGGTACAATGTATGCAGTACTTACTGTACGTACCCGAAGGAGCAGAGAGAATTAAGCATACGATGTTTGTTCCACTTGGGCGCGACTCTGGTTATTTCTAGGAAAGGTATGGCTGTAAAAAAAAATTATGATATAGCCCACGATGTCGTAAGATGATTCTATGATTCGTTTTCGGATTAAAAAACAATAAATTTACTGCATGATAAGTGAAAACTTTCCAGTTATATGGCCAGAGTTCTTTACCTATGTCCCACGGTGCTAAAAATATTTCAGACCAGATAAAAAAGTAAACATTTGTTCTTGTTTTAGCCATTATACTTTCTACAGTTTAGATAATGGTTTAAACAACGATGGAATTTTATTTTCTAGCTGACAAGAAAAATTTGTTTAGCCCCCTGTGACATAGGTCGAGAATTGTCTGGCTGTAATAAGAAAATGTTTAATTATCATCATGTAGTAAATTGAAAATTTTCCTAATCAATCCAAAAAATCCCAGAATATTATAGCTTATCATGGGCTACATCATAATTTTTTTTCACAGTCATACCTACTCTATAAATTATCAAGGTCGTCGAGGATTCGCGTTTGAGTGAAGAACATTCGACGATCCCTCGGAATTCGTTCGCTCAAAAGAAAAAGAAAAATCGGTGCAACGCGTGACTTCATTCGAATGTCAATGAGATATTTTTTGAAACTCAGAGACGGGATCGCATTCTTTTCTGAGTTTATTCGTCCCGCGTGCTGTTTCCGTGGAAAGGTCAGAAAGTGCTGATGCGTATCCGTCGGTGGACTGAATTTTAACTTCAGTGTTTGAGTTTCAGGAATTGAGTTGTCCTCAAAACAACTTTCAGCAATAATAACTGTGTTTCTTTGATTCACAAGGATGTTTTCCCTCATTTAAGAACGGATTGGCAGTGTCGGAGTTTTCTCAAACAATCTGTCCAAGTCTCCAGGGACAAGAGTCCCGGAAGGGAAACATTCTGATTTAATATTCTTGAACACGTTTATGGGGTCTTTTTTCAAAGCGTTCTCCGGAGCTGGAGTCGTTTTAAGGTAGAAACAGGCCCTCAATCAAATCTATTTCAGTCCCAGCAAATAGCCGTGTTCGTGAAGGTGAGCTTTTGGGCTATGGGATTCGAGCTTGTGCTCGGACAGGGTGCCCAGAAACCATCCATCGATACTGGCGACCTGCAAGGAACCAAGAAGCCGAGGCGCTTTACTGAATTGGTTTCAATGTTAGAAACCCAGCGGGATTGCAACTCGGTGCCGGCAGTGAAGAGCGCCCGTAACAAACGGTTTGTTAACAAAAAAGTCAAAAAGGGTTCGGACTCAAGGCACCTCCATAAAGATTCTTCTTCATGAATCGTTGCTTGTCAAGCGTCAGACGATCCGAATTCCCGAAGTATTGGATTTATTTTTACTGAGATGCTGGTTGCTCTTTTCCCGTTACAATAACGTGCTCCACTCGAACATTCTGGGTTGGACTGTGCTCTATATATCCTGGAATATCGAGATATTTATGCATTTGGCATAGTGGCCTGAAGAAAGTCGCCTCTATGAAGTTACTGCCTCAGATGTGTGCTCTTATCCAAGATTTAAAAAAGAATAAATATTCCACATTTTAAACAAGGAACCATTGATGAACATTTTTTGCTTAGTTTTCAACCTGTTAGTCCGAGTTTGAGACTCTCTTGGCGAAAATAAAATAAAAATAATAAATGGGATCCATGCATACATTCATGAATGCGATGCATTTTTTTCAAGTTTTCCAATTTTCCTTCTAAGATTGCTGCCCAAAATCAGGTTCTTAGTTTTGTGAAAGCGGTATAAGATGAACCAGAGAAATTTCACCTTTTAATGAACTGATGAATATTAATTCTGTATTTTCGTTTCAGAAGCCCTGAAGCTAAATACTGTACCTTAACGAGCGTGCCACTTTTAATTGACAATCTTTGCCTACAAAAGTGGGCCTGAAAAAAATAATGAGAAAATTGCACCCATTTCTTATGAGAAAAAGATATTTGAATCTTCTGGTATTCGCAAAAAAGCTGCGCTACCGTGAACCCGGTCCAAGCAAATTTTCATAAAATTGCTCATCAAAGAACAATAAAATTGTGCACTCATTGAAGACAATTGAATGAATTTCAATTTTTAAAGCAATGTGTTTAGTTTTTGGAGGAAAATTGTAAAAATTGGTTCACGTTTTACCGTGCAATCTGCGAAGGTGTGTGACGCTTTAGGTTCTTAAGCAATGCATGTTTAATGAAAATGAATTAAGCACTGTAATTCCTTAATGGAATGTTTTATGCAACGCCTGACTTTCGAAAGAATCGATTGTACACAGACGCATTCCAAACGATGAAATGTACCGCTGTTGAGTGAAACATACTGCTGCTTTCATTCATTTTCTTTCATCTAGAATTTGTGAGAACATTCTACGAGCTAATAATCTGCCAGGCAAAAACTTGATCACTCAACGAAAAACTGGCATGAAGTAGTCCCTGCCTGATTTTCTTGCGCGTGAGTTCCACTACGTTGAAGAACTCAGAAAAATCCTCATTGCAAAGAATCATGGACTGCATTTCGAAACATTTCTCTGAGCACAGAAGAAAGACAAAGATTTCATAACTTTTTACCGCAAACAATCGCAGTACTGTTTACGAGAAACATTCTGATGACCTGTGGAATGGAAATGTACCAAGGTGTATTTAACTTGAACCATTGCGGAATACTTCGAGTTTGAGAAAACAGGACCCGGATCAGTAAAGCATAGAAGCAGAACTAACCCGCTACATCTCCAGATTTTTAGCAAGCTGAGATATAAAAATCTTGGCTTACGAATTCGGATTCATGAAAAATATTCTATTTTTTCCGTATGATGCTTCTTTCCTATTTTTTTTCTTGCACGGCGGAAATTTGATTTGCTGTCAGGATTCGACGCACATTTATTCCTCGAATGCTTGTTTTTTAGAAGCATTAGAGCTACCGTAGGCAAGACTGACAGGCGCCGACAAAATATTTTTCCCGTGTTTTCGCGAAGAAAAATTCGAGGTAATAATTCGTGCGATCCTCTATGTAGTCAAAATAAAATTCTGCAACGTGACGTCAATGACTGCATTTATATGCATGCTTTGCACATTAATGAACGCGAATATATAGTTCGATTAATATTCATTGCTATTCACTACAAAAACGGAAATCGCGCCCGATGCGTAATACAGTAATTCGAAAAATGTAAAATTCGGCGGAATTCCGCATCAAGATTGATCACAGGAAATGCGTTCTTCTCGGGAAGGTATAAAAGAAGCAGAACCCATAGTATTGCAAACAGTTTTTCCTCTGGTGCTGAAGAAGGTTTACGTTCGTTGTTTCAGCTGCAAGTCGCTCGATCTTCCTTCCTTGGGTATGAAATCTGCCAGTTGCATAGGATTCAGAATTACCGTAATTCAGTACGTTATTATGAACGGTTTTACGAGTACAATAGTTTTTTACATATGTGCCTCTGAAAAAATATCGAGCTACATTGAATAGCGGCTCTATTGTTGACCGAGGTTGGAATGCCAAAAATAAAATATGTTTTCAATCCTTCACGATTGAAATCGCAATGAAATTCAAGTTAATTTTTTTTAATGGGGTTTCGGAAGTATGTCTTGTTCCGAAGCTCAATTGTTGTTCCTCCGGAAGAAGTCAGAGCAGCGACATTCCAGATTTCGGAAGAAAATATTCTTGCTGCAGATTTTCAAAGTACACGAATCTTGCAACCATAACATGCACAAATTTGAAAGAAAGTTTTTCTATGGTATGCCTTTTCTATGGTATGCGTTCACCTGTACCCCGGTGAGCCCTGTTCCACTTGAACTTTCTCAAGGACTCTGGGGTCTTTATAAAGGCTATACGGTGAACCTGGGATTTTCTTTAACATAAGAATGTTTAACTGCAACAATTCTCAGTTTTTGTTGTTGTTGTCAGGTCTTACTCAATTGAAAAAGACCTGACAACCTGAATAGCTATAAATCGAAATAGGAAAAGCCAAAAATCCAACAATTCTCCCTTTTATGTACCCCATTGGGAATTTACTTACAATGCATTAGATAACCAGTCAGCAACTGGCTGAGACCAATGGAGAGCCATAAAGGTCATACATTTTTAATGGTATTAGAAGGTAAACTATAGTTGTGAGCTTTTCACTGCCTTGTTGCCCCTGATAGGCTCAGAGTATGGTGTTGGGCAGTCCTGAGGCAGTTTCTACAACAAGAATTACTGATGAACAACTGTAACAGGAATTGTAAAAATCGTCCGTGTCCTCCAAAATGTCCAAATTATTTGCTGAGCAGAGGGTAAAAAATGGTATTTGCATAGTTTGATTCTTCAGGCACAAAAAAAATAGTTAGCAAAATTGACAGAGCTCCAGGAGGATCAATAAAATCGTTTATAAAGTCCGCAAGGCATGCGTTTTCTGGTCTCAGATTCCGTAAGCAGCAGAGACGCAGTTGACTTGAAAACCATGTTCGGGACGTGCTGAGTGATGACTCTTATTCAAACGATCGCTTCTTCAATTTTCCAGGAATAAATCAGCATGTCCCATCTCTCGTCAAAGGCCGTGCTTTTGAACGTCTGCATCATGGTTCTGCCGATCGCCCATGCAGCCGTGCCCGGACTAGCCTTTGCAGCACCGCAGGTGCATTCAAACCAAATTTCGTTTGCTGCAGCGGAGAAATATGGGATCATGAGCGACGCTGACTCCCCAACCTATAGGCGTTTCTCATCAAAACCGGTCGATCGCAGGGTTCGGAAAGTCTCCCTGACCGACACTGTCGTGGCCTGTGGGGATTTCCTCTTGCTTACCCTGAACTTCGTTTGTGAGATGTTCGAGCGAAAATCTGACCGCGTGAAGCGACGCGGTAAGCGTTATGTTCGTGTCTAACGAACGCAAAAAAAAAGACAAAGAAAAATACACCAGCAGGGAGAAAATGTCGCCCTATTGCTGCTCGAGAACTGAAGGCCTTATACTCACTTCGTTTATTACACAGTACATGCAAGGAATTTTACTTATTCTCCGCAGGATTGCTTCGGTTCTGCAATAGTATCCTCTTGGTCTACTTGTATTGAACCCTGTTTGGCGCCGGGGTTTGTTGCCCAATACGATCGCAGCAAAGGAACCGTTCTCTTAATTAAACAATCCAGGAGAACTTGTGAACCTCAATTATATGGTCTGATGGCTGATTGCATTTTACCGAATAAGCAAGCATTTGAAAGTTAGCCGAAGACGGAAAATGTGATTCGGCGATGTCCTGACGTAATATTACCAAAATTTCCAAATATCTTATACACTTTTAAAATGCCCTCTTGAAAAACGTCCGAGATTGTTTAGTTGCCTACCTCTGTTTCTCATATCATGCATTCAGGAATTCTATTTTTGTATTCGATTATTTCTCTGATTCTTACTACGACTATCTTAATTTTTACGTTTACTGTATTTATATATGAAAAAGTTGAAATGATTCAAGAGAAATGATTTAAGCGGCTCGACGCAAGATTAATCCGTCTTCCTGCATCCGGAAAAAAATGTGGGTACGGTCCCTCGAAGTCCAAATAAACGCGGTCCGATGATAGCATCACAAATGTTATTAAAAATTCCAAGTTTGCATTGAAATCACAAGGAAAGCGTAAAAAATGCGCCTCATTATGTGCGATATTCCTGATTCAGACTGTATATAAGTACCTTATTTAGTGTCATGAAATTATATGCAGTGGTCGAAAATATTTTCCGAAGAAATTCAATCAATGCTGGTCAGCACTACTACATGTAATTATGTTACAAACGTTCAATTGAGCATTGCTGAAGGCGTCGATCTCGATTTGCCTCGTGCTGCATCTATTACGCCTCTCAGCTCAATTCATGTGGACGGGATTCCACTGACAGGGGATATTCATGCTGCGGAAACAAATCCTGCATTAGTTTGCATGCTCAAATTGTTATTCGCATGAACGAGTGTTCTCCTCAAAATATAATGGATAACAAACTCAAGTTACTCTGTTTCTACAGCAGCTGCTCGGGATAACTTCGCCGAGGTAGAAGGAGAATCGTTGGACACCATGAGCCTACTACTCAACAAGAGGTCGCAGAATTTAGTGACCACCTGCTGCTACAGGGAATGCCGTGTGTCGCAAATGCTGGATTACTGCCACCACGTGAAGTAATGAAGACATTTTCGAAAATTTGACTGCCAAAAATCATTGGAAGAAGATGATTAAATTCGAAATACATTCAGATGCGCTGGTGTTCTGCTTACTCAACCATGTCTTCAATGTCCGGTGCGTTAGAATTTCAGAATGGAAATAAAAATAAGAATCGAAAGCAATGGTATTTGTTCTTTTCGTCCTGCATGTACCAGTACTACTGCATACCCGAAAGCAACATGGTACTCATCGAAAAAATTGAGCGTATATCTCGTATACACGAGAGTAGAATTCTTCTCGATTGACGGCAAACCTCTGTTTACTGTCCCTTGAAGTAGTAAAATTCAACCTGCCCGATTTCGTACAAGATCGTTTCACCCCAAACATTGCGAGAAAAAAAAACTGAGCCAGAATGAAAACGGCTTTTACATAAAGTCGTAAAAATACCGGATGACCTTCGGATGTCCGAATTGCCACAACATATTTGTTTTGTTTTTTTTCAATGCGTGGAGAAAACATTCAGAGGAATATATTTACGGTACTGTTTTCATTAAAACGGCAGGATATATATTGTGTACTCTATACACTATACATACATCATGCCTTTTGTGCGGTGAAGCAGTATATCATTCTCAAAAATTTGCAGCTTGAGGCAACATATTTACGGTACTGTTTTCATTAAAACGGCAGGATATATATTGTGTACTCTATACACTATACATACATCATGCCTTTTGTGCGGTGAAGCAGTATATCATTCTCAAAAATTTGCAGCTTGAGGCAACGGTCAGAATTCAGTGCCTGTCGAAATTCCTGCGCTAACTAATAGTTTCCCATAAATTTTAAAGAAGTCGCATGAAGGTTATACATGGTTAAATCCTTACGTTGAGAAAATGCTGAAAATGCTTCCAAAAACCCATGTTTGAGAATCTATTATGATTAAAATTAAAAAAAAATCTCCTTCCGCTATACAGTACTACAGCAAAATTAAACAAATCTCTTTCCAGTATACTACAGCAAAATTCCAACGAATCTCATTGCAACGAAATTGTTTTTTCGTTATTGTTACTTAAAATCTCGCTTTCATGAAATTCTTTTAGGCTGTAATCTCATTACAGTACAGTATAACAAAGTGTGGCCCTGATTCTGTGCATAGGACATGTTAGAGATATGATAATTGGCACAAAAAAAAGAAAAAATATCACTCTTGCAACATTTTAATTTATCAGAGAAGGAAGCGATTCTTCACCAAAAATGTAGTGTTATTCAAAAAAATTCACAGCATGAAAGTTTTCTTCGAAATTTGTCAACTTCATTATTGAATGCATACCTTTCTTTCAAATAAACAGGATGTTATAAATAATTTTCCTTCATTCCAAAGATAAAACAGGCAATGAATCAATGGATTGATTTGGAAGGAAGTACTGTACAGTACTGTAATTCTCCAAACTAAATGTACTTTTTTATTTTTTCAAATAGCACATTAATAGAAAAGCAGCTTTGATATAAGAGAAGTAGTGTATAGTCAATATGTTTCCATCTTCATAATTTCATCAGAGAGACTTAGAAATTATGTCAGGCCTTAAATTATCTACAGTATTTTAGAAGCCCTTTACAGAACAGTATTTATTGCCTATTCTACAGAAATGACGGCGTAAAACCTGCAAAAAATAATGGGTCTAGAATATTTACGGTACTGTTTTCATTAAAACGGCAGGATATATATTGTGTACTCTATACACTATACATACATCATGCCTTTTGTGCGGTGAAGCAGTATATCATTCTCAAAAATTTGCAGCTTGAGGCAACTGTCGGAATTCAGTGCCTGTCGAAATTCCTGCGCTAACTAATAGTTTCCCATAAATTTTAAAGAAGTCGCATGAAGGTTATACATGGTTAAATCCTTACGTCGAGAAAATGCTTCCAAAAACCCATGTTTGAGAATCTATTATGATTAAAATTTTTAAAAATCTCCTTCCGCTATGCAGTACTACAGCAAAATTAAACAAATATCCTTCCAGTATACTACAGCAAAATCCCAACGAATCTCATTACAACGAATTTGTTTTTTGGTTATTGTTACTTAAAATCTCGCTTTCATGAAATTCTTTTAGGCTGCATGTAATCTCATTACAGTACAGTATAACAAAGTGTGGCCCTGATTCTGTGCATAGGACATGCTAAAGATATGATAATTGGCAAAAAAAAATGAAAAAATATAACTCGTGCAACATTTTTAATTCATCAGAGAAGGAAACGATTCTTCACCAAAAAATGTGGTGATATTCAAGAAAATGCACAGCATAAAATTTTTCGTTGAAATTTTTCAACTTAATTTTTGAATGCATACCTTTAGTTCAAATAAACAGGATGTAAGAAATAAGTTTCCTTTATTCCAAAGATTAAACAGGATGTAAGAAATAAGTTTCCTTTATTCCAAAGATAAAACAGGCATGAATCATCAATAGAGTGATTTGGAAGGAAGTACTGTACTGTATTTCTCCAAACTAAATGTACTTTATTTTAATTTTTTCAAATACTGTAGCACATTACTAGAAAAGCAGCTTTGATATAAGAGAAGTAGTGTATAGTCAATATGTTTCCATCTTCATAATTTAATCACAGAGACTTAGAAATTATGTCAGGCCTTAAATTATCTACAGTATTTTAGAAGCCCTTTACAGAACAGTATTTATTGCCTATTCTACAGAAATGACGGCGTAAAACCTGCAAAAAATAATGGGTCTAGATGTAAAGAATTTTTCTTTCTGACGAATTTGTATCAGGTCCATGGGCGTTCGTTGTAACGGAATTTTACTGTACATCCCGCGACCAAGCTAATAACAATCTGTCAATCGAGTTGACAATTTCCTCCAATAGATCTCATCAGTTCCGCGACTTGTGGGTCCAAGTTTTCCACCAAGTCCGGTACATTTTAAAAGCTTTTACAGTTCTCAGTTCAAGCAATGCTAACATTCTCGGGGATCTATTTTTTTTAGGACTTCAAGTACGACGGGGGTGGTCAAGCACTTTATTGTACGTCGACCTTCCCACCATATAACACAAGTATATACAGCTATGGGAATGCGGTAGTGACATTGATCCAGATATTCCGGAGGAGCTGCCGGCAAATTCTTGGGATACTTGTCTAATTCCATATTTCCCATGCACGCATGAGTTCCTACAGATAAATGTCACAGCTCGAAGGTTCATACGATTAGAGATGCATGAAGGTCGATGCATGGAGACCTATAGTGATTCGATGTTGAAACTTTAGTGAATGCTCACCGCCACTCAACTATATGACTAGTAAAAGCTATTGACGACATTATAAACTCAAATGTCTACGGTCGTATTGATGGTGCATTTCATGAATCACGCTCAACTTTGATGTCGATCCGAGGAAACAGAGTGATGTGCATGTAGTTCAATTAGAGCTTTCATTTTTAACTTCCTTTGGATCCGCTTGAATATAAAGCGGAAATTTTTGTTGAATTTAGATCGGCTTAATAAGGAAATAAATCTTGAACAAAATATAAGAGAGAAGCGCTAGCAAATAAAGATTCTGAACATTTAAAAGTAAATTACTTAGGTAGGACGATGTGTTGCTCTTATTCAGGATTTGTGGAAACTTTTGTGATGCTAAGCCTATTCGTCCATCAATAATTTTGTGTTTATTTTTGAAATAATATTTGTTCGTAATACATTTGGATGAATACACAAGTAATGAGCTGAAATAATTTATGTTCTGTCGCACGACACACGGATTTTTTTCTGACGTATATCTGACGAGGCACTGTGACATTTTTCATTGAATTATTTTCTCTAGTGAAAAATTAATGATTGAAAAAAAATGACAGGACTTTTGCGAACACATTTCCTTCAGTAATTCACTGCGATAAAAATAAACTGGAAATACAGTATTTCAAATCATCCTTATCCCGATTCCAAAATTCCATGCTTCAGCTCAAGCTTCATTTGAAACCCACTTGTATATACAGTATCTTGTCATGTACTGTACTTTACTTCCATCATATCTCTCTCCTTCAAAAACAGACAAAAAATTTCATTGCGTTCCATTTCTTGTTCAGTAGCTCGATCATTGTAATCATTCTACTGTCCAATGGATTATTAAATCCCTGCTTCAGAACGATAAAAGGCAACTCATAATCGGTCTGCCAAATCTTAGCATAGGGATTTTCGAAGATTTTAGACACGCAACTGAACCTGCCAAAAAACTTGAACTAAGAAAATGCCGCAGAAGCAATCAAGATGACTCTCATTGACGGAAAAGTCAATGGGAAATGAATGCAAATTTCTTTGATGGGACTACTGCGCGTTATGTTGCTGACATATCTGCATTTTCGTGGTACTGTAATCGAAAAAATAATTTATGCATAAATCAAGTAAGAAGAAGCATATTTATTTGAAGTAAACAGGAAAAGTTTACAGGAACTCGGATTGGAACTTCATCGAGAGTTTAATGTGAAATGGCATTTAATCAGCAAGGAACAGCTTCAATAAATGAGACATCAAACAATAGAATTTCAATTTTATAACAAGCAAAAAAATTGAATCGAGTAATTCCTGTGGATTGAAAAAAGAGCCAGGGGAATTTAGAGACCAGCTTGCAGCCGAGATGGCTGGCTGTGAAACATACAGTTTATGCGTGTGAGTGTATACAGCACAAATTACTGTATGTAGAAATGATGAGTAAAAAAATCAGTTCTCTGAAAATTGAATTCATTATAGATAAAAACATAAGAAGAAATCATTTTTACGGGAAAAAGGCAGAAATTTTAATTCAGATAGCATGGGTGAAATTGGAATATAGATGTCCACCGATGTGAATGTGATGAGGCATTAAAATCAGAAGGCTGCGAACATCATTTTATTGGTAAAGGTGCATTAGCTTTGTTCTGTATTTTCAAGCATTTGCAGAAAATCGCGCTGTAATCCGCCACAGCAAAATCAGGAAATTGAGATTGTCGTATAAAATTTATTCTGGCTTGACAATGGCATCCACGTTAGTCACCTGATTTCAGAGAAGTGAGAGCTTTGAAGACATCAGATTGTTTGGTCATTGATTCGGTCCATCTCTTCAATTTTGACATTTGCTTTAAATTGTCAGCAACATTTGCTCAATGAAATTGAATGAATAAAAGAGAGCTCACGGTGAATTCTGCCGTGATTATTTCCAGGAGAAAGCACTGTATACCCTCACGACCTTACGCTAACAGTTAATTCCCCATCTTCGAATTGCTGACGAATGATGCAAGGAATCTGACAAAACAAATTCGTTTCAAATATTTTTTATTGCAGATATCAGAACGGTTTCCGCTCACACGTCATATCTGCTTGATTTCATCAGAAAAACTGTCCAGACCTCGACAGCATCCAGGCCCAACAAAAAACTCTTCAAAGTACGCCAATTCAAGGAAATCTCAACCATATCTTCGGCCACCTTCACCAGAACTTCTCTGCTCTTCAAAATTACTAATCGTCGACGTCTTTCATTGGATCATTTACACACAAAGCGCATCGTAGAAAATAAGACGTTTTGTCTCCGTTTCATTCAAAAAGAGTACGAAAAAAAATACCCAAGCATTTCCTCGGTTCCTTCCATCTTCAGAAATATGCGCCAACAGACGAAATTCGGGCTAGCGGAAAAAATAATAAGGCGTTCCTCAAATTCGCACCTCAGACATCAAAAATCCCCGTTCCGAAACACGAGCTCGCCGAACCAAAGCACTACGGTCAATTTCAGGATCACGCATGGAATTAGCATCAATTCTGAACCATTCACACTCACACAACGCCCGATCCAAATTAACAAGGCAACGTGGAAGCAAAACAAAACTCCTGCGGTTTCACTGCGTGAGTCCGATCGTCGTTTCCGCTTCATAAGATGAGTCGTAGCGCCAATTTTCAGTCAAGTACAGTAAAAAATAATATCGAAGCATCGTCAGTTGACCATGAGATCATGATTATCTTTAATTTTACATCGCGTGGGGGTATTTCTTGTTCACAGACTCTAAGAACATCATTTGTTTCTTACGGCTACGAATGCGACACGTCAGCACAAGCTAATCTCCCCGCGTTTCAATGACTGCGCTGCCAAGCTATTCAAAAACAAGTGGAAGATTTCCCGAAAAATCAATAAGGGGTTTCCGTAAAACAAGTGTTGAAAAAAATGACAAAAACACATATGTCCGAATTTGTAAAACTATCGAAAGTATCTCAACAAATCTGCTTGGAAAACCAAGGTTCTATGTCATCGGTTTCACAACGATTAACCACCAGGAAGTTTCCGACCCGAGTCAAACTTTGAATTTACAGCAAGCTGAAACCGACATCACAGTAGAATCACTTCCAGGGAATTTGAGCTACCATCAGGGCTGTCGTTCAACGTACCCGTTGAGGAAACAAACGCAAACTTCGATGGCATTGTTCTCCTAAGCTACGCCGCAGTAAGATTTGGAACAATTCCTTTCATCATAATCTCAAACAAATGAACAACAAATTCATATGCATTCATTTTTGAAACGGTTCAAATCAATGAAACTCCAGAGTGTGCAAATCAAAATATCGCACGATACTTTCATAGGAATTTGCGTTCCCGTTTTCCAAATATTCAATACGAAAATGACCAATTTGATTTCATCGTAGATCTTTTCTCCCTCGCACTGGGCAAGAAGTGCACGTCGCACAGTGTAGTTTACGAAAAAACAAATGGACTACAATGTTTTCCAATCAAACGAAAAAAATAATCGGTTTAAAAATGCGCATTAGGCAGAAATTTCAACTCCGGATCAGGTGCGACCAGCTTCTTCGCGATGAAATTCTTACACATGATCAGCTCTGAAGTCTTCGATTTCAACACAGATTTAATTTTTTGAAATGACTGGTTATCTAAGCAAATTCTTCACATGCTGCTTTACGAATTTGTTCGAAAGCATATCTCACCGCGTCGAACGAATTTTCAAGAAAGAAGAATTCAATCAACGATTAACGCGCCACAACGGTCTTACCGTATTTGAAAAGTATCGCCTCATTCATAATGAACTTCCAAGTAGGGTAAGTTACACTTCCAAAAATTATTTTTGGAGTTGATCGGGGATAATCCAGACTCGCATTACGCGTTCTCAGTTCCGATAGTTGTGTGTGGAGATGAATTGAATCTTGCTTTAACGAAATACTGTAATACATGTACCATGATAGAATGAAGGGTACCCGAAAACGGAATAAAATGCCAGAAGATATGAGATCTCACACCTCAACCCAAGTCAATGGAAAACCTGGGCGAAGACCAACTCTCAAGCGTTCGTCCAAAAAAAATCTCCTGATACAAAACTCGTCGCTCTCACTCGCGAGTCTTAAGCGTGCTTCCAATTACGCCGTTAACGGAAAAAAGCGTTCAGCAATGTCATCCTCTCCCATGACAACTTTGAGCAGCATCACGGATTAAATCGAAAACCAAGCAGCGACGGGATCTCTTCGACATGATGATGCTGCGGCATTCCGCTCGCGGTTTCTGACCCGACGCCGTTTTGATCAACTGAAACGATGATGTTGTTGTTGATATTCGGCCCGTTCCCATTGACAGTCCCAGTCAACAGGCTCCGCACCGTTTGGGTACTCGTCAGCCCGGATGAACCCAAAGTTAGACGCTGGATGCTCCCGGTCACCGAGTTGCAGGACAATGGGGCCAAACCTATAACGTCGAAAAATTGAACTGAAGTAACTCACATGATTTCTGAACGAATTCACTGGGCACCCGAAAAATGGGAATCTTGTCTGAACACTACGGCGCAAAAATCTTATAAATTTGAGAGACCTCACGGAAGACGAATTCGAAAAGGTTCAGTTAGCAGGTGTCGATGGAAATGTCTCCCCATTTTTAAACACGAAAAACATACTCAGAGCTTGAGTTTATGAACGCCACGCAGCGAAAAACAATCTACAATACAGATCAATCACGGTTACAATTTAACTCCTCGTATAATAAACACAAAAATTCACCAACTGTTCATCATGAATCGGAAACTTCGAAATACAATACAATAAAAGCATCTTCGGAAACCTCTTTAAAAATTGAAGTGCTGCGAGACAAAAATTCATAGATCTTTTTTATATAATGAAAAAAAATCGGAAATTTTCTTTCAAGAGTAAGTTGCGTGTTCCTCATCCAGTACAACCCCCATGATATATGGGCTAATGACCAATTAGCCTCAATCCAGTCGATGCAATATCATTGATAATCAAGCATTTTATTATAGAGGAGAATTTCATAAATCGATAGCATTATTCAATAACAAAATCTTAATTAGCATGCTCCTCCGTGATACTCTGAGAGCTTGAAAGGAAAATAAAGAAATTCATATTAAAATCCTACAGGCTTAACTGTTTCAATCAAATTAATCAAAATTTCGGATACTTAGTCAAAGCACAAGCATTGCAATTTCAGTTCCACTGAATAGGAGAGTTGAGTCACAGTGATCCACTCAAAAGTTCTTACTTTTCTTTATGAGATGCGAAATCAATCGGCATGTGTGAAAGGGATTTGCCTGAATTAAATTCGGTACAATTAGCAGGCCCCTTGCTCCTATAAACAAAGCAACCTAAATGAAGCAACGGAAAAATCTTCGGAAAATTCTCCAAGAGCTATCCAATAAAAGTAACTGAACGAGAATCACAGGCCAGACGTTTTCATGCTACTGGGTTCGGAAATTTCCACTTCTGAAATCATATGCTTCTTAAGAAGCATACGAAGAACACGCATAAAGCAGACCTCCAACACATGGTGAAGAAGTAAGGCCTTGTGCTCCAGCGGGTCCGCCAGTAGCACCAGAAGTAGGGGATAACGGACTCTTCATGAAATATTTTTCCAGCTTGGCCAGAATGTGTTTGCCGTATGTGAACTTGCGAAGAGTGGCGACGTGCGGACGGATGCGGTTCATGAGAACCTTTCGCTGACCGGGCTCAGCCAGGTCCAGCATTTTTTGTACGACATAGTTGGCAAACTGGTCCTTCATCATCAGCTGTAGCGGACACGACACAGCAGCTGACGAAGGATCCGTGGTACTTGAATCCGACATCAAGCCAGCAGCGGCACTACCGTTCAACATGCAGACCTCGTCTATGAGCTGCGCTCGCTCAGCGAGAGTCGCGTACTGGATGCATTTCTCCACTACGTTGGACGCAAACTTGTGCTGAGACAAGGACAATATTTTCCCGTGAACCACAGCCACGATTTTTGACTTGTCTTCCGCCTTTCCGTGCTCCAGGATGTGCTGAATGACATAGTTGCCGTACTGATCCTGAATCAATTGCTCAGTGTGAAGATGCAGTTCTTCCAGCACCGGAGTTGTTTGGTCCGGCGAGCAGTGCTCCAGGATACGTTGGATAACGCGACAACCATAGGGATGCGAGCTGAGAGTGTAAACCTGACCCGTGAATGCGTTGATGATGAACTGCAGTGCCTGAGGGTCCACGCATTCGATGCACTTCTGCACCACGTGGTTCCCGTTTTGATCCTTGACGCATCTCAGCACGTGCCCATCCAGTTCCCGCACCAGTTCTTGCTGCAGATCGCCTGGGATTGTCTCCACGGCTTTTTGGATCACACGACAACCATACACTTGCAAAGCGAGTTGCACCACGTTTCCGCGGACTTTTTGCGCGAGCGTGGCTTTCTGCTCCGGTGAGCCGTACTCGAAGAACTTTTGAATCACGTAGTTGCCGAATACATCCGTCATCAAGCTGTAGGTCTGCGGTAAAATCTCAGAAAATACCAAATTCTTCTCGGCGGGGGTTGCTCGCTCGAGTTTTTGCTGAATGTAGCGCGATCCGTGCTGGTCTTGAGAGAACTCCACCATATGTGACGTCATCTCTCTGAATGTCAGGTTTGAGAACCGATTGTTCCTGCCGGGTTCAAAAATAAATTCGTTACGGATTCATTCGTTTGTCGACAATTCATACATTTCTCTGGAAAAGGTAAATGAAAAACCCTCTTACGCATCGCGGTACTTGCGAGCCTTAGAAAGCGGGATTGCCGTGAGACCTATGCATCATAAAACAACGTAAGTTCCTTTTTTTCAGACAATTTTTCAGATTATCTTCGACACGAAACAGCACTTTTTTTAAATTATCGATTCTCATTATGCAACGCAGTTAGTAATCAGTAGTGATACGGCAACAGTTGTTTTAACCATAGCTTAGACATCTAGGTCTATGGAGAAATGTTCATCTTTCACGTTCCCGGATCTGGGAATGCGGAAGAAAGTAAATCACTCCAGTGTTCCTATGTTCTCTTATAACCAATGACACGTGGAAGGTCTGAGTACAGTATATTTCATGCTCTAAGGTTGGTATAAGAAAATAATTCCTTAGTAAGCAATGTCAATTTTCAGCTAGAATGAATAGAGGGAAGTTGGCAGATATATAATTTGAGCGTATGCCAAGAATCTACAGCGTTATTCACAAAAAATATACTATAAAAATTCAAAATTTAAAGTAGAAAAAAAATCTGAATGACCGAATGCTGAAGAGATGAAAAATGTTGCGACCAAATCTGAACGATTTCGAGCGAACATTTTCGAGACTGAACAATTGAAGGATACCCACTTCCAAGTCGCACGGTACCGCAGTAGCTCTCCAATATTAGTCATTAATTTTTATGGGAGTCTGGAAAAAATTAGGCAGCCCATATAACTACTAATCACTGGATTAACCTGCATATTGATCAAGCATACAGTATAACTGTAAAAACCGCGACCCAACGCTTTATGAAATATCCTGAAAATTAACTTTGAATCTGAGTAAATTAGATGAATTTCATTAAGTAAAACTGAAATGCCATCAAGCTATTTCAGTTTAATAGGATGGGTGGCCCAGCAATTTTTTTTAGCTAATCTTTTTTTCCCAAGAACTAAAATGGGCAGAAAATTGAATTCAGGTTTAAATTGTGGAGCCACTAGCATTTGAATCATTCTTGTTCAATTTTTATTTTCCTTATCATAGGATACCCTTCTAGCTCAGAATTCGCGCAAGAAATCATGGTTGACTGACTCGCGGGTGAAACAGGCTCAATTGAATAACAATTCAATGCTTGTCGGTGAAGTGCAGCGTTAGCTACCTGAAATCCTCGAGCAATCGACTGCGATTGGGCTGTAGCTTGCCGTCGGCTGCTGGAGGAAAGAGCCCAGATACGCCGGAACCACGTCGAACACTGGAAGACGTCGCCAGAGCACTAGTAGGTACACCGGGTGGCACCCCGGTAATCGCCGCCGCTGCCGCCATCATCGTCCCGTGCGACGCGAACAAGTTGGGGTTCCATGCAACGTTGCCCTGAGCATCGGTGTAGCCGTTGGCGGCTGCCACCGCCGCGAGATTGTAAAAGTTGTTGGCGTCGCCTGGATTCGAGGTCCATTTGCCGCCTAAATCCACAGGCGGCGAGAAAGGCGTTGATCCCCCGACAGGGTTGGAACCAGGGCCGCTCAAACTCAGGTGAATATGCGAGGTCTGGTCTCCGCCTGTTGGCTGGTAAACGCCGTTCGTGCCCGAATCCTGGTGGGGACCACCGTGGTCCAAGCCGTCGCTCATCCCATGAATCAGCATCGCCGCTTTTGCATCGAAATCTTTGGAAGGATAACCCTCGTTAAACCTACATATCTCATTCAGATTCATTTCCTACAAGTAAAAGTCACCCAACCGTCACGCCATTGCAGAATTATAAAAAGGGTGGCCCGGCATTCTTTTAGATAATCTTTTTTCAAGAATAATGGGAATAATTGGATTCAGGTTCGAATTGTGGATTCAATAGACTTTGAACCATTTCTGTTTAATTTTTCCTATCCCAGCTGGCGCGGCTACGCGATAAAATTCTTCATTAGGAAATACTGTAGCTGCTGGAGAAATGAGAAAAATGTATCCAACTGCAATGTCTATATTTCAGAGACATGCAAATTTTAATTTTAATTCGGAGAAATTTCAGGTTTCCAGGCGTTCAAAGGGTACATTAATTTAAATTTGTGCGACACATATCATGGTTGCCATAGTAATTTAAAATCAATGCACAGAGCATGGCGAAATTGAGGCTCTCATTTTTTTAATGACTTCCCAACATTTTCAACAAAATACTGTACATGTACAGTATAGGAAATTTATTATAATTAACAATGGGAACCGTAATATGACTGAAGAATCAAAGTAGCAGCATTCAAAAGTTATCGAATGGAACTTTATTTGAGCCCAATCCAGGATTCTAAAATCCGAAATTTATGAAATACTGTTGGAAAATCGGTTCAAAATTTTCTGGGCCATCCTGTGCCTTAGCATCCATCCGATTTTTCAAGCTGATATCAGGAATGATCAAATGTTTAAAAAGTTTCATTTAATAGATCGAAAACATTCCTCATCAACGGTGATCTAACGAATTACAAACGTTCCCGAATACCTCGTCGGGCATTTGAGTAATAATGCAGCTTCATGTGCTGACAAACACTAAAACACAAAGGAAGATGAGCATAAAAATACGGTGTATAAATTGCAGGATACAAATACTGTACTGTACCCGTGTACATTCATGCAATAGAAGCCTCAATTTCAATGACTTGAGGTACTGCTGACTTGAGTCACACTCCGTTCAATGAATCAAATTCAGATCCGATGAAATATTTTCCCTGAAAATGTTCCCCTCAGTTCAGCTTTTGTCCATTTTCAGCGCTTTTTTCTTCGGGAAATGCGACAAAAATTCCAAGGACAAAATGCCATCATCAGTAGCTGTCAAGGATGCCAAGGACAAAATGGAACAGAAATGCCATCATCAGAAACTGTTTTTTCGAATGCGTCAGGGATATTATAAAAATCAAAGGAAAATTGACGCAAAAAGGAGCCTCGGTTATAACGGACTTGGCATGATCGAAAACTCGAAGCCGCATGGATTAAACATTCAAGATCGTTTGCAAATTACTTTACATACTACTGCAGTGCATACACTTGAAATAATACAGCATGAAACAGAAAACAACCAGAAACGAGGAAAACATTGCTCTTCTAAATCAGGCAAGATATTTCGCATTAACTTGTTTATTCATCGAAAAAGCTGACAGTCGATTTTCCACTGAAATTTGCATTTTGTTGTTGAAGGAAAGTCTCTTTTCATGCAGGTTATTATCCAAAGCAGGGATTCATCACCGAATGCAAAAATCGGCAGCAGTCCGAGTCCATTGGGCGAGGAATTATTCATGCGAGGCGTCCCTAATCCGGGGCAGCGTTTTAAAATATTCATGAAAGAGACATTTTGGAGCGGATTACGACGGGTTGCATTGCACCTCACTCTTCATCGTGTTTACGAGGCAAGTCAGTTTCAGGCTGGTCTCAGGAAGCTACAGCATCTTTGTAGAAGGGTCTCAATCGCGACGCTGTAAGCTTAGATGGTAAATTCTGAAGAAAACATCATCCACAGTTTTTTTTTAGTACGGTACAGTAAAATCCCGCTGAGACGCCCCCAATAAGACGACACCCTCGGCAACTGCCAATTTTTGGGAAAAACAAATACAGTATTCCCTAATGGTAATACAGTAACATTGAAAATCCTGTAAAAACGACATCCGCCGAAATTATTGAAAACTCAAATATGCTCCCACCAATTAATTTTGTCCCCGATAGCCAGCCAACAAGATTCAAGTTTCTGTAAGAGGTCTCCTAAAAAGAAACACAGACACAGAGATGAAGTTATTTCTTCGGAACATCAGCTAAATATGATTGACGCATCCCAGGGTTATTTTGATCGTTTTACAGAAGAAAAATAATTGCATTTCCTATTATACTTGAATTTCATTTGATTATAGATTTTTTGATGAACCACCAACCCCCTTCAAAACACCAACCTCATTAAACCGCCACAAACCAATGGTGGCGGCTTTTCGAAGTTTGACTGTACCACAATTGATTTACTGTACCGACAACTGTGAAGCAGGGATGAAAACAAGGTCGTCGTATCACAGACGCCGAAAGAATCGCTTTCAAAATGGCTTAACAGACGTTCGGATCCGTTCATTCCACGTAGCAAAAAGGAGAAGCGCAAGAACCGCCATCACGGATAAATCGATACACGCGCCATCAGCTTTCCTCAAGATAAAAGGGGAATCTTAATGTAGACACACGTCATTCTGAAGAACACATGCGGCGGAACTGCGGATGAATAACAGCTGCGCTCCAGGAGGCCTATTAGCCAAAATTGAATGATTATTGCATTGAAAGGCACACACATGTGTCCACGTTTGTGCGGAAGTTTCTACAGCTTCAAGATTCGGGAATTAATTTTCGAATTCCTGAGAAATCATGGAATAGGATTGCGTCGTCCCTCCGTACGGTCAAGCGTTATACTGTATGTCCATCAGCAGATTTTGACCCCCACCGCCCCCCCCTAGTTTCTTGGGTAGTACAGTACCTTTGCATTACCCTGTATGAAGTGATGTACACCGATTTATCCAGTACCCTGCATTTAGTATGTTTGAACGTCGGCAACCACTGCCGTGAATAATATTTTCCGTCACCGAGTAATTCTTAATCTAATGTTTTCAAAATTGTATGAATGACGATGCAAAATAAGTCACGTCAAAGTCAATTACATTAAATCACAGAATACATTAATTAGGAACAGAAATTTATGTTGCACGCATGCGGTCTCCATTATTGATGATGCAAATTTGGCCACAAATTTATTTTTCTTAGTCACAAAAAAATACGCGATTTGTCGGGTCAGAAGGTGAAGTGGGAGCACATTTGGGAGTAAACTTCGCTTAAAAATAATTGTCCCGTGCTTTCATGGCATTCGTTTTAAATTGGCCAGTCTTCAATTTTTCCGGAGCTTGGTGCTCAAGATAAGACAGTAGGGTGAAGAAAGAAAAAAACAGTGGAGGATGCAAGGAAGATTTACCTTGAGGGCCAGCACCGATGAGGTACGATCCCCGCGACACGACTCTCATCGGGGGTCCGGTCGGGTTCGGTCGTCCGGTCATGTTCGGAGGCAGCATCATCCCTTGCCCCGCTGCACCGCCTCGGTCTTCGTAGTACCCCGCAGGCAAGATGTAGCCCGCTGCAGCCGCCTCGGCCGCCGCCATTGCGGGGGACACTGGTCGCCTAACTCCCGTCGTAGTCGGCCCACCGGGGTTCGGAGCCAACAAACCCGGGCTCTGACTCTGCCCCGGATGCTGCACCAGGTTCATGCTCGCGGGATACATTCCCCACGTGGCCGGCGAGGGTTGCGGCAACTGGTAGAAGCCGCCTGTTATCGGCAGCAGGTCTGCCATCAGGGTCTGCATCTGGTACGGGTCTTGTGGGCCGATCATATAAGTGCCGGCCGCCGCCCCGGGCGTCATCGATTGCTGCACCGTCGAGAAGGCTTGCTGGTAATGCTGCACGAGGAGTTGCTGCATCATCGCAGACGGGCCCGCGCCTCCGGGTCCGCCGTTCGAATACATCTGCACACATGCCCATCGGCATCGCAAAAAGAAAATTAAAGCAAATAAATAAAGAGGAAGATTGAACGTCAACGACGGGAAGGCTGACGCGAGTTCGACGAGCACCGACGCGTGGCAACATGCCGGAGTGCCGCGTGCTTTTCCCGAGAAAATCTCCGGCATGGTAACAGCGAATCCGGTTAATTTTTTCTTCTCACAGAGGCAGAAAAGGAAATCCTGACTTTATATGATGTTCAAACCAGGAAGAATGTACAGTATTGTGCAGGGATTCCAGACATCTCCTGTTATCTTCATCTAAAAAGACCATACAGTTTCGGTCATCAGGAAAAATACTGAATTCACTGTATCCGCTGCCAAAACTAAGGATACGGCACAACTGCAATTATCCGGGCTAACGACGTCACGCCTTAGTCCAAATAATTAACATAGTATCACGGATAATCGGATAAAGTACTATCCAAACCTCGGTTTACGGTATAAAGGAACGAGAATTGCGAATGGACATGCGTACAAACAAAAACACACTCGTAAATTCGAAGCGCATTAGTCCGGGTGATAATCAATCGCAGAAAAACGTGAAGACAAATTAAACTTGAGAAGTTCATAAGCAACTTTGTTTTCTCTTAATAAATTCGAATTCCAACCCGATTAATAATATCTACACCTTTTACTGCCCCGCATTTGCTTCATTAATGATCGGCATAGAGGGTGGTCAGTTTTAATGGGAAACTTGTTTGGACATGATGGCTCACCGAAGATATTTTCTTTCGTATAATTGTTGGTATGCAATTAAACATTCACTCGGTTATGGTGTTGGAAAAATGCATTGTGAACATTTCAGGAAAATATTTATTTCATGATTAAGCAGAAAAATCCTGAAATTGGTGCATCAGGGAAAAAAACAGTAAATTAAATTTCTTTATAACAAGTTACGTAAACACCAGGTCGATGAAGTGAAAATAACACGCTGGTAACATGGTTCTTATTCATAATACTGTACCGAACTCCTAGACAATTCAATGTACGGAATCGAAAAAATTCAGAAGCCAATATTTTTCTAGACATGCGGGACTTCCGCTTTTGATACGAACGGTATGACGTTGAAGATGTGATGCAGAAGCAGTCGAGTTTAATTCAATAAAATGCTGTACTACAAGTCCGCAGCGTGCAAATCAAGCGATTTAACCGGTCACCATCGAATAAATATGGAACTGACTGATGGGGTCGATAGAATCGTGCGTGGGGAAGCGAATTAAATACAAGCTACGCCCTCAACACTGAGAAACATTTCAATTCCCACCAACTCTCTTTCCTAGCATCTTTACTTCCACTGATTTTTTGAACCTGATTTTCAAGACTTGTACCGAGGTCCAAGAGCAAGAAAAAGCAAACAAAATACATTGGGACTTCCAACTGAGAGAAACATAGCTGAGAATCCAACCCGTCCGCGTTGCATTTCAACGCCGTTCTTGAGGCAACGCATGAGACTTTCCAACATGATTTTACCAGCAGATGTGGTGAACTTCGGGAACCAAATGAGTTCGGTTGCCCCTTCGCTGATTTTTTTTCGTTTAGCTTGAAGAAATGCCTTCGAACTATGGTTGAAATATCACGGCTGGAACATTTGCGACTTGAACATTTTCCAGAACCACGAAAGCAACAGTTAAATCGAAACGAACGTCACGAAATCCAGATACTCCGAATTTATTGGATTATATTTTGTTAAGAAGTAAATAAGAATGAAACGCCTCCTCAATTCTCACGACACACAAGCTTTTAAAAATCTAGAAAATAAATACCTGCACGGAATAGGACAAATATAAGCGATTCGTGCAATATCTTTGGACGGATGTCATGTGAGTCACGCTTCATAATCAGTAACACAATCAATTCTCCGAACAATTCATTTCTGGGTCACATTTTGAGCATGGATGAGTCAACTCGGAGCCAGGAAAAAGTCCGTGAGAACAAGAGCAGCTCTCCGAATGAGAATTTCTCTCACAACATAGTACTTTTTTGCGTCGATGAAAAACGAACTATAAATGCGATATTTTTCTAGACTCCACACTCGAAACAACGCAATCGACTGCAGCGACTTTAACCGCGAACAATTCACTATGAAAACATTGGAAAGATTATTTTCAAGCGGAGCCCGAAGAAAGCTCCTTTTTTTCATCTGGGCTCCAACCCTATGGTTTTTAGCTAAGCGATAGTTAATGACTGCACCAATCATTTAAAGCGCAGAAAACCGTAATGTGGTACTCCATATGGATAAGTTTTGTTCTTATGCGTTCAAAATTCAGACTGGACCCTTGCAGCCATCCTCTCGCGAATGAATGTCAACGAGTTACTTTCCGCCAACACCACTTTTGGTGGATTAACAGTAAGACAGTTTCCTCTTAATTGGGAGATGATTACTGGAAGTACATATATGATAATGGAACAGAAAAATTTTCATTTACCGGAAATACAGTGATTCTGCCCATCCATCTTTACAGTAAAACATGCCCCAAACAGCGAATTCCTCGAAAAATACACAAGTTGGGACAAACTTAATTTTATGCTTGAGGTATCACCGTACAGTATTTTACGCATTTTTTTCATGCATCAGCTCCGAATCCGGGGACAACCAAACATAAAACAAGCGTTCACTAAGGTAATACGAGGGTTGTCCCACTTGGGCGCGACCTTGGTTATTTCTAGAATAGGTATGACTGCAAAAAAATTATGATACTGTATAGCCCGTGACGTAAGGTTCTGGGGTTTTTTGCAGTGAAAAAAATTTCAATTTACTGCATGACGATAATTGAAAAATTTCCAGTTACAGCCAGGGTTCTCCAATCATCTCAATGGGGTATTAAAATTGTCAGGCCAGCTGAAAATTGAAATTTCTTTGTTGTTTTAATCATTATCTAAAATGTATAAAAGATAATGGTGAAAAGAACAAAATTTCAATTTTTTAGCTGGCCTAAAAATTTCTAGCACCCTGTGGCATGTTAGGAGAGCTCCGGCCGAAACTGGAACGTTTTCACCTATCATCATGCAGTAAATTGAAAATTTTTGTTGAGAATCTGAAAAAATCCCACAACCTTACAACATTAAGGTCTAGATCATTTTATTTTACAGTCATACCTACTTTAGAAATAACCAATGTCGCGCTCAAGCGGAACAACCCTCGCATGTTCACTCGCGAGTAGGAAATCACGAACATAAACTAGCTAAAATTCTCCCACCACGAAAAACGAAGGATGTCTATACTATACTCCAGACTCTAAAGGATGCGAACGAATACCCCAGATCGACAACCCCAGCTAAGGGATCGAGAGACAGAAATCCCTTTCTAGCATCCTCTTTAGCCCGCATCATTTTCATACGTTTCTGCAAGGAACGAATTTCCTCGCGTAGAATAGCGGATCATATGACGTTCTACCGCATTACATATACAGTACTTGTACTTCTGAAGTTCATCGCGCCTAGAAATTACCAACTTTCGTATTTTCTCTCCTAGGACTCTTCAGTTCATTCGGAACAAGCTCCACATATGAACGAATTCCTCCGCACAATCGCATGCAATTTTCAAAATGAACGGGATGTAGAAAATATTTTTTTTCTTTGATCAAGAAGGAGGACTGGAAATATTGCATTAACTCAAGCCCTCGTTACGTATCTCATGACAGGATGCGAAGCTTGGAGGATTCTCAGCTTCAGTTCCTATTGCATCGCACACCTGAACTTAATTCATGAGGAAACCTTTCAATTAAGCACCTATAATGTCCCTGGGGTTATACGAGTATGCCGTAGTTTCCGTTCATACACTGTAGTTTAATGTTGAATGTTGCCGCGGGAATCGCAGCCATCACGCTTAACGCTTCCTCGCCCTCTGAGCAAACATTTCGAATATCGCTTCATTTCCATGGTTCTTCCTTAAACAATTGTGAATGTGTGACCATGCTTCACTGCCATGTTATTTAATCAGACGTGGTTTCGCCACGACAGGCTCACTTCAGCCGATGATACATGTGCCACGCACCCAACACTAAAGAAGTCAGGCCAAACGGTAAAGTTAAAAATACCTTCGCGAATGGAAGTTCACTTCCACAGCGAGGAAGAACGCCAGTCTATTAGGGAGGAATTCTTTACATTGAGCATCTTTAGAAATTTCGTATAAGAACTAGCCTCTCGCTGGCCAATGCGGCTCATGAGCAAAGATCTCCGAAGGTGTGCGTTGCAGATCACGAATGTAAGATTAGCATTTTTAAACGAACCTACGATCGAAACAATGGAGTTCGTCCATGTGCGAGTGACGTTTGATAAGGAGAAGCTAGGAAAAATTCAAGAAAAAAGTGATTGAAATTGAATAATTCCAACGAATGAATACAGAATAGTTCCAAGATATACCGTACAAACTTGGGTAGTACTCGGTCTTCTGTCTGCAAAGAATATAATTGAAGATCATTTTCGAAAAAATACTGCTGCATCTCCTCATATATGATTCAATTTAATGAAAGAGCAGAATCTTCACTCTATAATTTTGTACCATCTAAAATGTGTCCCATGATTGAATGGTTCTTCGGATAATTATTCAACTAAAATTACTGAATTTAACATTTTTCAATGTTTGAAATCAGGCCGGCAATTGTTCGACGAAAACTTCGCTCATCACTTGCATTCTTTTACCAGAATGACAGCCGAACCAAGTTAACCTCCTCAATGCCCCTCGTTCAGTACTTTGACAATGACGAAGCACCACATACAGGCGAAGTACTACTGTATTGTATAAGCTCACCGCTTCAACTAAGAACGTGGACCGTCCACATCAAAAATTGAAAAAAAGGAGGAAAACATTATTTTTGCATCATGAACACTTTATGGGTATTACTCAACATAATCAATTTGAAGGTGATCTGTCTCAGCATGGCAGGACAGCATAGGACAGTGAGGAAAGTTGCTTCCCACAGCACTTCGATCGACAATGCTGGAAGTGACTTTACATGAAGTATTGCATGCAAAGCGAATTGATTTCCCCTTTTTTAAATATCCAGAGATTACTGCTGACCACTTTTTGAGAGAATGTACGTGCTTCTCCATTTTTCTCGTGCAGGAAACTTCACGAAAAGACGAAGAAAATGTTAATTCTCAACTCGTGGGCGGCGAGTATGCCATGCGGAAAAAGTTCGCAGGACCTGAGCCTTTCAAGGTCGGAAAATTTTCCATTGAACTTCAGACGAGGAAACTTCCCAACATTTTCAAAGGATTAAAGCACTCCTTAGGACATAATGTATTGTAGAATGAAACGCTCAAGTTAGTCGAAAGACAACTTCTTTCGAAGGAAACATAGCAGAATACTGTATTATCTTACACCTGTAGTAACCACAGCGCAAAAACAGCATCTGAGGTACACATAGGTTTCCTTTGCTATTGGAATTTATGCCGAGGTAAAGAAAAATAAGCCAAGAGCATCAGCCGTGAATCATGTTACGATGAATTATGAAATACGAAGAGAAAACTACGGGAACTTCAAAATGTTCGCGAAGAGGGTTGAAATCGTTTTCTGGTCGACACTATACAAGATAAGGCACAGTAAAGTACTGTACGTTAGTTTTGGGGGCAGTGTTGTTAAATTGCATGTTCTTACCTTACCTGAGGAACCAAGCTCAACTGAAGAATGGGGTTGAAGTATCAAGAAATCGAATAACAAGTTGCCACCCTTTTCTGGTGAATGATTCCGACCGACTACGCAACTTTTCGAACAATCATTGCACGTGAATAAACCACGGTCCAAAAGGTAGACTGAAGTATCAGAAATCGTTCATAGGTCGAAATGTACCGATAAGGTCACGTGGAATCTTATGCTTTCCAGAGCGTACTCCTTTGTTGAAATTTCAAATATTCTGCTGTCAAGGATGAGGAATGAGCCAAGAATTATCCTCACTCTTACTCTCGCAACCGTACTCAGAGAATAGCTTTGTAAATGCGGCGGAAAATCCGCATTCGCACGCGCTTCGACAACCTACTACATAGAACCAGTGCCATCAGGACACAGTGGATATCGTTTCAGTACCATTCTCCCCGGGAAATTTACGAGTGCCCATGCAAGGGACCCGTGAACAGGACACAGCATTTTGAGGCGCACACCACGCACTCCCAAAGAGCACAACGAAACTTCTCCCCAAGAAAGGCCGCCTGTTCTATCCACATTACCCTCTAATAAGTCAAACCAGTATAATTTCGAAATGATCTGCGGAAAATGTAGCTCAAACCACGTCCACAAATGTGTTTAGGCGGTTCTGCGACCTTCAAATATTCCGAGGAAAACTGATTTCTTGAGTGTCAATTTTACTCCCGAGGAAAATTCGCGCATTGGTCGAGAAAAATTCGTGGAAATACAGTACAGTATAGGAAAACCTCGATTGTCCGTGATTTTAATTGACCAAGTCCACTTTAAAAGGAAGAGGTTGAAAAAAAATGACGCTCCAGACGTCATCAACTAAACTATAAGTCCACCAGATAATGGTTACTGGAATATTTTCACGCAAACCCACTGTTTTAGAACAATAAAACAAAAACCGAAGTCGGAAACACTGTAGCTGGCAACGATCGCAATGAAGAAAAATTGCATCGATCATTTTAGCATGAAAAAGTCGAGAAAATTTCAAATAATGAGAAACTTAGGGACTTCCAGTGGGGAAGAGGGTATGGTGAGAAGATCGTGGTTCTCCGTCATGATGAAAAATAGATCCGGAAATCGAAGAAGCAGCTCCATGTTCCGAACCTCGATATACGTATCTTCCTTTTCGTGCCAGAACGAAAAATATTTTAAAAATCGTTCACAAGAATTTCAAACTTGAGAAGTTGATATTTCTAAGCCGGTCCCAGCAGTCATTTTTCGCCTACCTGGGATGCATTTCACGAGTAGAATGCACTTCGGCTTGGACGCGACACCATGAAATATTGCGGATGAAATCTGACGGAGTTTCACGAGTCAGCTGTGAGTTTAAAAACCTGGAGCAACTCCGGGTGTGTCATGAAACGAAAGAAGGAATCCAATACTGTACACGTCACCGTAACAGCACCAACGCGAATAGCTCGTCTCCACATTTCCCGGGGTCCCCACAAAAAATTTCCGCGCGATTTTCATAATAGCCAGAAAATTCAGAATCTGAATTCAAGGTTCAAATTCACTTTTAATTCTTGAAGTGTTGAAAGTCAGGAGAGAACGAACGATATTCCGTTCACTGCATGTACAGTACAACGCTCAATACCCTTGAGGCCTTGTTGAGGGTATGTCGAGAAAACGACGGGTCTCATTTCCGAGTCCTGTACAGACCGGAATTTTCTTCACTAACTCCTCTGAATCTTCCATGAGTTGCAAGCAGTATTTAAGGTTCAAAGGTGGCAATTCCAATTTTTAAAGAAAAAAATTGCTGAATTTGAGATTACATAATGCTTAAATTCTTGTTCAAGAGAGCCAATAAATGTGTTCTGATCAGTGAAAACGCAGACATTTTAAAAGGATTGCGTATTAATGATACGGTAACTTTTAACAACTGGTGGAACAATTTTGGTTCAAGGGGAAAATGTGTATTTAAAAATTTATCTGCGTCGATTGATTGATCAGTCTGATTAGCATAGATTGCAATCCCATGAAAACGGAGAAAAATGCGGACTCATGACGGGTCCTCAAAATCGCCGCGAGAAAACTGGAGCCTGAACGAAATTTTATGAGAAGTGTGAAAAGTTTTCATACAATCCTGAAAAATCTCCAAAAAAAGGGAAGTTTTGTTCGACTGACTCCCAAAGCTATTTCAAATCATACATTAGTACACCTGAACCTCGAAAGCTCGAACCTCCTCAAGTCGAACACCTCTCTTGAGAGAATTTTTTTCAAGTCACTCTCTGAGTTCCCTTAGATTTCCTTAGAATCACTGCATTTAAACCTCACTAGATCAAAAACTTTCCCTTAAAACCTCGATAAATCGGAATTTTTTGAGACCTTTTGGTTATAATTTTATTGACACAGGAAAATAGAAAAGCAAGAAAAGCGTAACTTTATGTGCATTGAAAGGGGGTGAAAGATTAATTGGGCAACTGAAACCCTTGCCTCCACGACCAGCGTCCCGTTAATTCATTCAAAACGCTATGAAAGGCCCAGATTAGTATTTCAACAATTATTATTTCCTGCATTTTTTCCTTTCTTCGTCCTCAACGTAAAATGCTCCTTTCCCTGACTTGGAACCTCCATTCGATTTTTTTTTTTGGCCTTTGAAGTTTGACTCAAAGAGGTTCGAATGTACCACCTTCGTGGGCATATCAAGGTAAGCACACGGTAACTTTTTCTCAGAAAGCACAGTATTTTAATTAGATGCGCGTATTGTCAAAGTAGTTGCCGTAAATCCATTAACACGGACATTGTCCGAAATATAATTTGAATGCGTTCGAGGCAAACCGTTTTTGCGGAGACAACACAAACCATTCAGAAGATAAAGATGCTGTACTTTTGTATTATACTGTATTTAAAAATTTGACCATGGTTATTGGTTCACCCTGCATATCCGAGGACGACATCAGAAGAGATATTTGAAGAGGGCGATTCAACTCTGGTTTCGCTTTGTTTCGTGATCTTGATTTTGCTTCTGCTTCAGTTTGGTTGAATAACGAAGGGACTCATGAAAATAATTATTCCCACATTATTGCTTAGTTCAACCTGGGATGCTTCACTTCACCTCGAACCATAATCCATGTCACGAAAGAATTATGGCTAATAAGGCGTGAACGGCCACCAATGAGATTGCGAAAAAGTGCGATTACCTCAAAATATGTTACATTGTACAGTACTTATCGCACTCGAGAGAAAGATTCACGCGAAGAGAAAAACACATATCTTTGTCCGAACCGATTATATAAATCGCAGCACCACCGAAGGATCATGCATGCATGCCTTACCTGAGGATCATGTGGCTGCATCATGTTCGACGAATCCACGGAAGGGATCATGTACCCATCGGTAGCGAAAGGTGACATGGAGGCATCGACGAGCAGTTCGTTGAAGGAAGAGGCCTAATCCAGACAACAACAACAACAAAATCCAAAGTTTATTTGAATTTTCAATGAATGAACTAGAGCATCGTGTGAGACAATCTCTTCGGATTTTTATTCAGCTTTCTTTATAACGTTAGCAATTTTCAAAGTACTGTATCACCGATGGTAATTTTCCGCGCCAACCACCTGATTAATTTCCAGAAAACTCAGCAACCCCACGAAATTCACTCGCAGTCCAACGGTTATGTTGGACTATGTTATTATGCAATGTTATGTTCAAAAGATTCGACACTCTGACAAGGTTGTTCAAAGCTGGTTGTTAAAGTCCGATTTCACAAGCTGGTGTTTTGGAAAATCACTTCTTGGAAGCGAGACGAAGCCAAAATCAAAGTCGGAGAAGCACAGAAAATCTGAAGCACGCCACAATGCTTCACCTCAACAAAGAAGCATTATTATTGAGCTACACAGGATTGGAGTAATAACTATATAGTATTCCCACTGATGTTTTGACAGTCGGAAGACGACACTAGGACATCATTTTAAAAGATTATGCAAAAATGGTCATGCAACAGATTTAATCGCGGTAATACAGTAATAAAATTACAATAATGTACTTGAAAAATTAATAAAAATATCCCCAAATCGACAGCAAAATTGAAGAACACTTTGAATAAAGATGACGCCAGTATGACGACTCAACTGATGCTCGAATAAAGAAATCGGGGTATAACCATTCACGTGGTCTCAATTTTCAAAGTTCAAGTTGAATTCTTAGTAAGCTCATTTCACGCCATCACCAAATTCACGTCATATCAATTTATATTCGTACCCTTGTGTCGTTTCGCTATTATTCACGGAAACACCGATGGTGACTCCTTTGTTTTTGGACTAGTTTACCTTTTCCAGCTAAAACAAGCATTCAATATGCTGCCACTTTTATTCATTTAAGCAAATAACAACTCGAACCCTCTGAATTCGTAATTCAAAAATGAGAACGGAGAATTTTGATTGGCAAGAGACACGCAAAATTCAAACACTGCTAGAATCGCAGAGTTCTCACCTGCATGTTTTGGTGACCGTGAGGGCCCGCGTTACCAACTGCACTGTGCTCCTGTCGCTGATGGTGGTGGTGATGCGTCAAGTGCGGGAGCTGCTGGTGCAGTTCGTGGGCCTGCGCCTGGACCTGTTGATTCGCGGAGGAGTGCGGTTGAGAATGCTGGCCCTGGTGCAAAGCATTCAGATGAGACTGCAGAGCTTGATTCTGAAGCAGCTGTTGCTGAGTCTCGTCGGGAAGCATATGTTGTTGTTGCTGTTGGTGCTTGCTTGCATTCGAACCGAGATGGCTCGGAGACGCGGGTACCATTCCTTGGGCTTTGGGAGCTGACCTCCCTTCATTGCCGATTACTACAACGTGATCTTTGGAAGACGCTGAGATTTCTCTATCCAACGCGGGTTCGCGTCGGTTCGTGCTATTCGAGGCTGTCCTTCCCCGAACATCAAAGCTACGAACACAGAAACGCATTGCAAAATTAAAATGCGAAGCTACAGAGAGCAAATGTTTATTCCTTTTACTAACGACCGCGTCCCTTGGCCTAGGTGATGAATTAAAGCATCCGGAATAATCGGTTGAGAAACAGTTCATTTCAAATTCGTAAAAAATGCAATCACCGATGATCGGATATAATACAGTACAGTATTACTAACATCAACGGGATCTCAAAGTACAAATATTCGCATGATCAATTACCATATACTCTAAACGGTTAATCGAGCACAGCTACAAGTCTAAGCAACAACTTCGTAAATCAAATCATCAATTATGAAACCAATTCATGATTCCACTTGATGATTCAGAATATTTACAGATTTTCAAAGAAAAATTTAGGGACATCAGAACGCATTGAAGCAGCTCAGAGGAATATTGAACAGGCTGCTTCATTTATGTTCAAAAGATTGACACTCTGACAAGGTTGTTCAAAGCTGGTTGTTCAAGTCCGATTTCACAAGCTAGTGTTTCGGAAAATCACTTCTTGGAAGCGTGACGAAGCCAAAATCAAAGTCGGAGAAGCACAGAAAATCTGAAGCACGCCACAATGCGTCACCTCGACAAAGAAGCATCATTATTGAGCTACACAGGATTGGAGTAATAACTATATAGTATTCCCACTGATGTTTTGACAGTCGGAAGACGACACTAGGACATCATTTTGAAAGATTATGCAAAAATGGTCATGCAACAGATGTAATCGCGGTAATCATAAAACTACAATAATGTACTTGAAAACTGCATATTGATCACCTTAAATGAGCTCCGGGCTGATACCTTGAACCGAATGTCGAGAAAAATTACAGTACAGTATTTTCACAAATGGAGTAAAGACTCATCAACCCTGAGTCTATGAGAGTGTTACCTAAAAGATCTATCTTCTTCAAGTGGACCCGATCCGTTTTGCAGTGCTGGTCCGGTGTTTGTCTTTCCTGTAGCAGGAACTTGCTTTTCAGATGACTCTCCTTCCCGGTCCTGGTCACGCTGCCAAATCATAGAATTAAAAATTGCAGAGACACTTGCAATTCCTGACCTACTCTTCATCGTGCCACAAAATCAATCGCCGAACCGAATTGGATACATACGGTACTAAAACCAGGAGGTATTTATAACGAGTAGATCTCACCCGAAGAACTGAAACATGGGTCAAAAGGGTTTAAATTGATTTTTGTTTCTTGTAGCGTGACGATGTATCCCTTATCGAGGATCACGAGTATTATACTGTATCTGAAACCATTTTTGAATCAATACCTTAGGTTAATTTTCTCATGATTCATCATGAAGCTCTGAAACTTATTGAGAAACGTATTGTATATCTTTTGAACACCAGCGTATAAAAAACTTGGAACAAAAGTATTCGAGTCCTAGGTATTCTTCCTGACATGGTTAATAGCTCAGTTGTTTTAGATCAGTGTTCCCCAACCTTCTTCGGCCCGCCGGCCGGCAAATTTCCATAACTGTTTCTCCGGACCGGCAGCGTTCCAAAAATGTTTGCAGACAAGCAGGACATTTTCGAATACGTCCCATAAATTCCTCCAAACAAAACATTTGATACAAGAATCAAGTTGAAAACCAATGAAGCAGCTATAGTGTCTTCAAAAAATTCGAATACTGGGCTTGAGGAAAGGTTTCCCAGGAGGAAAACTGGAAATGTTTTATTTCATCAGGTGAAAATTTGTCTTGAGTGTTATTAGTAGAGAAGTCAACTTTTATTTTTTATCAGATACCTGTACTGCAATTTCAACTGCCATGGTCTTCCCGAACTCTCAGATAAAAGCAAAAACCTTCATTACAACTTTAGTTACATTTATCATGTGTAAGAAAATTTCCCGGACCGGCAAAAAAATTCTGCGGACAGGCGCCGATCCGCGGACCACGAGTTAACACTGTTATAGAATATCTAGAATACGTTTATTTTCAAAGGGGAGCCATGGGATTTTGCGTCGCTTCGTCACTCTAAAAGAGCACACACAAAAAACATATAAATTCGATCGACGACGACAATTTTTAAATGAATCACTAAAAGTAAGGTATAAGGTGATTCATCTTCTACATAAAAACAGTTACGACCCCTCTGCAATTTCAGGAGCTCGGTCTTTTGATCAAACGTAAATTAAATCTCCCGAAGGCATGAAAATCACTTTATATGTTCTATCAAAACACGCGCCACTTCCGGTCTTTTTGAACTTTGAGAACAAACTTTCATAATCTAAGACCGGAAATTCTGGGTTCATGGTCATCTTTAACAGCATTTTAAACAGCAAATTCGACTGTAGGATTTAATCGCAGAAGAAACAAACGCAGAGGCCAGGTGCAGTTGACGGCATTCAATGTTTCGACATGGAAAGTGAATCGGGCCATAGTCGTGAATCGGGCCAGATGACTATAATTTTGTAGCCAATTTATAAAAACAAAACGGCGTTAACTTCTCATTAAACTTGACGGTTCATGTCACAAATTCGAGCCAGCTGTCCATATGGATTTACTGCCGTGGATACGCAAATAAACCCAGACAGAATCCTCCTTCAACTACAGTATTACGGCGAGCGACTTCCACACGCAGTACCCGCAACGTCTGGTTCAAGCATTGGACAGTATTTTCTAGTCTACAGTACAATACTTCATAACTGCTGTCTCTGGCGGCATTTCCAACTTCTTCTCGACCAAGTTTAACGCTGACTCTGGAACAGTAAACCTCAATCATGAAGCACAGCGCATTACTACAGAATCCAAATATGTCTGGTTAACCTTCCATAAACACAGTCGCATCGCCCGGCAACATCATTTTTCAAGAGATGCCAAACTTGTAATTGGTGACGATTAGCGATAAATACGCTCAACCTATCCCAATGGAAAATATGAAGAATGAATCCTTTCCAGTGGTTCCGGAACGTCTCACTTCATTTATTATAGCTGATGTACGCTAACAGTATTTACACGAAGTGACAAACAAAGCTCGGGGACTGAATAACAAAAATAAAAAGCTAAAATGTGGGTTCCGAAAATAGTTTTCGAAGGTCCTTCATAACCAGATATAAAGGTAGATTCTAAAAAGATTTTATCATCAACGATTTTCTGCGTATCACTATTTTATTTAATCCCGTAAGCGTTCTCTACAGCGGAATCCTCTCCACAACGATTTTTTCCTAGACCCCTAACTTTCGTTGTAGAGAGGGTCCACCTGTATAAATGAAAAATATTGATGAGAGGTCAAGAGGAACACGTTCTCATCCGGTCAATACAAAAAGTGACAACAGGATATTACATACACCTACTACCTTTGTCCCAAGAAAAATCGGCTCGTTTACAGGCATTTTGATAAGACTCCGTCCTTCAGAGAGATGAGGGGAAATTAGTTCAGGTTAGGGTACGTCAGGTTATTTATGGTTAGTTTACCAAGTATGTAGGCAGTTCGGAATAAACACGGAACATTCTACAGTACTTCGAAAAGTGTTGGATATGTGTAGAATGTCCCTTTACAATGAATGAAACGGTTGGGTGGTGGGTCTGAAATCAGAAATCACCGTACGGAAGGACAAATGTGTCATGTTCTGCAGGCAGAGGAGTCATAACTACAACACATATCAATATGACCACTTCCAAGATCAAGTTATAAGAAACTAGCTCGTTACCAAGCACTGAAGCCTGGTGATTACGGCGGGACCCCGAGATGCGGACGTGATCGATGCCTTGTCCATACGCTGGAGCATCTGCATGTCGTATCACGTTTTCCCATATACAGTACTTCAACGCAAACATATTTACTTGATTCTCACATTTATCAAAAATCCGAAATAAATCCCCAACACATAGAATAAAATTTTGTTTCCTCAACTTCAAGATAAAGGATATAATTGCGAAGAAGAAAACCACGCGGAATCTGATCTATTGGCATCAAAGAAGCTCAAGAAGAAAAGAAAAGAATAAGTCTTGCAATAATGTGCACAGATGATGGAAAAAACTTCGAACCCCGTTTTTGAAAATGTATCAGAGTAAATTTAAGATGAAATTCATTTTTAAATTTCCGTATAAATAGTATAAATTTGTTAAAAAATTATCAAAATATTGGAACTTTTTAAATTTTTCAATTAATTATGGATAATGTCCGTATCTCCAGACATTCTCCGGATTTTGGGGCAGATTTTACATTTGAAGTGTCCCTAAGTTGAATCGCGCGTATGTCGGGCGTCCGTATGTTGGGGTCTCACTTTATCTCAACACCTGCAAATCAATTACTACGGGAGGAAGAGGAGGAGAAGGAGGACGAAGATGAGAAGAAGAAGAAGGAGGAGGAAGAAGAGGAGAAGAAACAGGAGCAGGAGGAAGAGGAGAAAAAGAAAGAGGAGGAGAAGATGAAAGAGGAGGTACAGTATAACAAGGAAGAACATGAAACTAGGTGAAACAGAAATGTTAGAGGACTTACAATAGTGAGGGCGCTGAGGCGCACCTCGAGGTCCAGCTTGGTCTGCGAGCGCACGGCGAACATGGCCGCAGCGAGGCCATTGGACTGGTCCCCGTTGCTGTCGTCCACCCTCATGCCGACGACGTCGTCGACCACAACGGGCCGGGTGCCGGCGGCGCCGAGGTGCGGCTGGTTCGTGTGCCGCTTGGCCAGCACGGCGGCCATCTCCACCACCCCCGACCCAACACACACCCTCACGCGCCTCGCCCGCCGAGTTCAAGGCCCGGCCGGCTCAATCACTTGGCTTCGAAGCCTCGTTACGCGCCGCAGACTAGAGGAAACCCTGAAGATCAGAAAACCGTCTCGCGGTGAGAACCTGTCACTGGCAGGCCTTTCATTTCGACTCGGGCCGACTGTTGTCTGTCGGTCGGTTCCGGGTTAAAACTCGGGGCCACACAGGTTTGGTCGGCGTCGTTCCGGGAACGATCTCTACTTCTGCAGGGCGAAACTAACTTGCACTGGAATTGAAAGAACTGTGCTGCATTCCGGGTTAATGAAGTGCCACACATGTCACACAGTCTTGGTCGGGATCAGGGTGAATTAATTTAAACTTGGATTAAAAATAACAATCCTGTATTCCGAGTTAAAACAAGGTGACACACAATCTTGGTAGGGATCTTTCAGAGTTCTGGCGTCGATTCTTAGCTATACAGGACAAATAAACTTACACTTCAATTAAAAGAACTGAACTGTATTCCGGATTAAACCTAGGTGCCACACCATTCACACGATCTTGGTCAGAATCTTTCCCAGGGCTGGAGTCGATTCCTCGTTCTACAGGGCAAAACTGACATAAAATGAATTAAAAGAACTTTAGTGCATTCCGAGTTCAACCTAGGTACAACATTCACACAGCCTTGGTTAGAATTTTTCCGTGATCGATTCCTAGTTTCCAGTGTCTTCATGAAATCTTGACCGATTATTTCCGAGTAGGCCTTCTTCAGACGGAAGGTGCAGATAAAAAACATGAAACCTATCATGAAATACGATAGGTTCTTCTGGGTACACGAATATCTTTCGGAGGTAGGATTAGCGGGAAGCAATGTTTTTGTGGTATGTTGAAGGCTGAAAAACCTGGGGATAATTTGTAAAATGATACACATTAAAGCGGGAGGGTTCGTAGCAGACGTAATTTAAACATTTAGAAGGGTTAAAAGGGAAACGGGCGTCTGGCTAGCAAGTGGAACTTCTGTTATCTTAGATGGGTTTATTTTCGGGAATGGGGTATTTCTTGGGTAGCATTTACATACAGAGCAGGATTTTAAATGTGCTAGGACTAATGTATTACATTGACTAGGTCTTAATTTTACGGAAATTCGGTGCACTCGAATTTAGTACGGTATATGCAGAGCAAATTATTGCGGTTATGAATGTGAACTCACGATCAGAACTACTGGATCTTTTTCCCTCGAATGGGACGTACAGCCGACTCGTACAAACTTGGAAAAAAATATTGATTAAGTGATAAATGCGTCGTCGAAAATTTGATTTGGTGCGAGGACCGAAAGGCCGCCAGAGCAAATTTTAATACGTACTGTACTTCAAACGCTTTATTCCCTTCAGTCCTGACATACTATCCTAGACATTATCCAAGTCAAAATTTGCTGGGACGTAGGTAATACAGTATTATGTCAGAAGATTTGTTCATATTTTTCTCGTTAATTGAAGGCTTTAAAATAAATGATTTCAAATTACAGAATCAATCTGATTTTCAATTGTGCCGGCAATGGCATCCAATCATTTACCTCCCAATCGGGGGGTTTTATTGCATTGATACCATGGCGGGATAACTTATTTTTCATCACTGGTCGGCAGAATCATTGTTCTATAAAATTATTGTAAAGCAAAATTTCACGAGTTCATTTTACACAACTAGAAGACTACATCACAGTAAAATTGGGCGCAAATAAAACGTTTCTCGATGCCTTTAAAAGATACTCTATTTACAAATTCACCATGAAGTACGCAAAAGAATTTAACGTACTTTTTTCAGGCAGAAAAGTTTTCTTCGAATGATTAAGGCGAATCAATAAAACACCTAAACACGA